TTGAAGTGGAAACTGGAAAAGAACATGTTGTGAAAACTGGAGAACCTGACTTAGGTACTGCATCAAATGTTGTTGTTAGATTATCTTGAGAAATACCGTGAAATAAAAATTATAGAGTAAAGATTATAGCATTAATTCGATATTTAAACAAAATGGGTAAACTTAGCCTTGGTACTATTTAAAGAAATAGATTACCTGATTGCAAGTTACCGACAGAAAAAAGGATACCAAAAGAAAGATGTGGATACTCAGTCGAATACGTAGGAAACGTAGATATTGCGGTTGTCACAACTTCCGCCTCAAAGAACAACATAAATGTGACACTATCATCCAATTTTGTAGGAGAGATTTCAAAAACACAAGTACAACGGTATGACAAGAAAAATCAAAAACATATTAGCATCGACCGCCTGCAAATATTTAGGGAGTATATTCAACTCATGGCTGGAGTCAATTTAATTGACAATATAATGGGGAGATTTCATTACATAGTAAACAATGGCAAGTGCGCATGTTCTACCATTTAATAGATCTGGCAATGGCCAATGTCTAGTTGCTACATAAACTAGTCAAAAAAGAAAAGAATAAACAGGATTAATTGCTAACAACGGCTAATTTTTGGCTCAAAGTAGCAACGGTATTGTGCAAGCTGGGCACCAATGCATCCGTAAAGCACCGAAGTATTGAACCTGAAATACAAATGAAAAAGCGCATTCATCGATTGGCTGTACGGCAGAACCAAATTGGACACTGGCCAGTGTGGGCCAAAAACAGAATCCGAGACAAGCATCCAGTTTGTATTGGAGTTAACAAAACACAGTGCTAAAAATGTGGAGTAGCATTGTGCTATGATAAGCAAAATAACTGCCTTAATTTGTTCCGTAATTCATAGAATATAGCTTTGAAAACAGTGTTCTGTTTTTTACTTTTATAATTTCTGAAACTGAAAAATATATTATATTTAGAATGTAAGTTGTACTTAAGGCCTAGTAACATAAATGCCACACACCCATTTTTTATAAATTTTGTTCCTGAAAAAAAAATTATAAAAACAAAAAAATGTTTCATAAAAAAAATTTAATAAAACCTATCAAGTATACGTCATAAATTATTTTTTAGAGATATTGCGATACAAAGTATTAGGCTTGATATGAATTGCCTATAAACAAACATGATATAGCAAGACAACAATCTTATTATTAAATTTTTAAATCACAATAAAAATCCACTTATAATTAAAACCAAGCGTAGAACACATTTATAATCATTATTATTTAAAAATCAATAAAGCAATTTTTTAATTTACTTGGACTAAAACTTCTTTTTTTAAATTCGTGTGGCGTGTGAGGTACGCTTTATGATCGTTTATTAAAATAATTTTATAGCAAATTCTGAAAAAAATTAACACCCTCTCATAAATTATTTGAAAAACTATTTATTCATAGATGGTTTTCAAACATTGCTAAAGCGTGGTTAATGACTTTACATAAAAATACAGTTTACCGTATATAGTTTAATAAAATGATCATTAAAATATTATTGCATTAATAACATACATCCTTTACCTTAAATGGCTTATTGCTAGAGAAAAAAAATCTTGTAATCAACTGATAAATGAACATGTATATTAAAATATATAAAAAAAATACCACAAAGTTGGTATCAAACGAAATTTATATGAAAATTCCTGCAAGTGTTTACTTACTACCAATTATATCACACTAATATATATGTAGTTTTAAGAAAAAATTCAAGTATTTCATTGTAACATTTTATTAAAAAAAAATGCAAAACTTTTTGATATAAAAAAATTTTTGATATAAAAAAATGTGCCATCATTGTATCATTTACGTATCCTTGTAGTTACTATATATTTATTTTTTTAACCAGTTCAATTCTCAGCTATAATTCATTTACAGAAGCCCAAGCCAAACAAAGTGAAAACCTGTATATTTTTATAATACTAATATACAGAAACTCTTTTATTTATTTTATCAAATTCTGTAAACCTACAAACTACTTTTGTGATGTTAAAACTCAGGAAAGAAAAACTTTCCTTTCGCTTTATAAAACATGAAAACATAAATATTGAAAATAAACTTGCCAGGTGCAAACTTAATATATTTAGATAAACAATTTTATGAGAGATTTGCATTAATTTCATTTCATCAAAATTATATATAACGCCAAAAATTTTAACAAATATTTGTTAAAGTAATGTATTTTCTGTTTTTAATCAATAATCAACACAAATTAACTCTAAAAGCCAAACATAGCAACTATTAAACCTCTTAAATAAAAATAAAAATTCATTAAGTTTAAGCAATTAAATAAAAAAATTAAAAAAAATTAAATAAAAAATATTTCTCTAAGTATAAACAAGAATAACATAAATGAAAAACGTATTACCAAAAAAGAATTATTGCTTAAGGTTTTTTTAACTAACACTCTATACTATAAAATAAATTATATGATTATGAATGCAAACTTATCATACAATAATAAAGGTACAACTATTTATGTAATCTTTTTTTTTCCATTTCTATAAAATCAATACTGCTATCATATTCAAATCAACTTCTCACTGTCTTAAATTTTAACCTTTAAAATTTTCATTCTTACTTTTTTTATAAGAATATAATATTACACTGCCATCCTTACTCCTTCAGTAAGAAGAGCATTGTAATATTATATTTTTATAAAAGTTCTTTTTTAAGTTTTTTATAAGTTGCTATAATTACAAATACTTTATTCATTATATATACCAATTTTAGATGAAACTTGAAAAACATTTCAATATTGTAAACATTTAATTTATTTTACAACATGTTTGATCAATCATGAATGTTTTGCAAGTATTAGTAACTTTCTATAGTTAGTCAATTTTTATGTTGTTATTGATTTTATCATGATATATATTTACGATCAGGGATGCAGAGTCCCAAAAAAACTCCAAATTTAAAAGTCACTAAAAGATTACTTCTTCATAATTTTTGGTATCCAGGAGCTCTAAAAATATAAAAAAGTTTATGTACTACTAATAGGAAAAAAGTTAAGACTTTTAAGTAAGAGAAACATTAACTAAGAGGAAAAAGGTAAAAGGAACATTATTTTATTTAATCCGGAGTCTATAGGTATGATGGTGGAAGGATTCCGTGACTTAAGGCTTAAAAACAGTAAGTTCCAAGACATTAAATCTCATGAGTTTTTTTCTCGCAGCAAATCATAAATCAACAAAGATGTTTAGAGCTTTTAGACACTACAGATCTGGAAAAACAAATATATAAAGCTGGAGTCCTTTTGGAACTCCATACTCCTGTTTACAAGTGATATCTTTATTACAACTTTTCAAATATTATACATTATAGGTATAATTACTAACACCTTTAATATTATACATTATAGGTATAATTACTATGAGAAACTATAAAATTATAGAGTCATGTTAAAGTTAATACACGTATAATGTTAACGTGTATTAAAATATTATGATATAGTCACACAATGAAGTTTGACTTACTATAGAAAGTTACTAACATTTGCAAAACATATATATATGTATAACATATATATATATATATATATATATATATATATATATATATATATATATATATATATATATATATATATATATATATATATATATATATATATATGTATGTATATATATATATATATATATATATATATATATATATATATATATATATGTATATATATATATATATGTATGTATATATATATATATATATATATATATATATATATATGTATATATATATACTCATATAGTGTCGCTTTAAGAGCATTTTAATGTTAAAAAAGTCTCTTACGACTACAATTTTAATTACCTCGTCTCTTAAGCTGTTTTTGATTGTCATCGAAATGTCAAAGCAATTAATTTATGCGGAAGTACATTAAATTTAATTGTTTTTTAAAAAAATTTTAAAAAACCGCAATTATAACGACTAGAAAGTTTTTTTTAATTAGTGGTATTTTTGTTATTGATTTAATAAAAAACATTTTTTAAACATGCGTAAATGTTGCTACATCGACTATCTTATAGCCTGACTCGCAACGGAGTGCTGCTACATCGACTGACAAATAGCCTGACTCGCAACGGAGTGCTGCTACATCGACTGACAAATAGCCTGACTCGCAACGGAGTGCTGCTACATCGACTGACAAATAGCCTGACTCGCAAGGGAGTGCTGCTACAACGACTGACAAATAGCCTGACTCGCAAGAGAGTGCTGCTACATCGACTGAGGGTTTGGTTTGGCCAGGCAGTCTATCAATTAAAAAAAAAAATTTAATTTTTAAAACTTTTTCTGGTCTGGTTTATTAACGCGCTCTTTAAAACTACAGTTTATGGGAAATATTTTTTGATGCTACGCAAGAGACATGCAAGACTATATATATATATATATATATATATATATATATATATATATATATATATATATATATATATATATATATATATATATATGTTTTGCAAGATATATATAATATATATATGTGTGTGTGTTTTGCAAGATATATATAATATATATATATATATATATATATATATATATATATATATATATGTATGATATATATATATATATATATATATATATATATATATATATTTATATGTAAATATATATATATATATATATATATATATATATATATATATATATATATATATATATATTTTATATATATATATATATATATATATATATATATATATATATATATATATATATATGTATATATATATATATATATATATATATATATATATATATATATATATATATATATATATATATATATATATATATATATATATATATATATATATATATATATATATATATATATATATATATATATATATATATATATGAGAGAGAGAGATAGGTAGATAGATAGATATACACAGACATTTTATGTTACAAGTCTTTAATTTTTGGTTTTCAGAAAAGTATTACTTATTTTAGACTTGTACAAACCATTCTCTTGAGTGGTTTAAAAATGCAAAAAAATCACAAGGATCAGTGGCAACAAAGTCTGTAATGGAAGCACAAATTGCCAACCGTAAAGGATGTTTTGTTATTGGAAATGAAAAAGGCATTTATTTGGAATTTTTAGATTTTAATCTGGCAGATGTTATAAAGTTCCAAATAAAAAATGATGATTCTACTGTAAAAGTTTACAGTTTAGAAGAAATAAATGATTTGCAAAGTCGTTTAATGTTGGTAGGAACTAATATTAGTGAAGAATCAATTCAAAAAATGCAAAAAGAAAAAAACTATTTTGTTACGGTGAGGTTTTGTGCAAACTAATATTGTTTTTAACTGTGTGTTTTAACAAACAAATATTGTTTTTAACTAAAAATTTTCTTCAAATATAAATTTTTTTAAATTGAATTTCAACTTGAGATACGATACTTATTATAAAACTAACTTATACAGTTTCTCAAAGAATTTTTTCGTAGTAGATAACTTTGATTTGCTAGAATTAGCTAATCATAATCGTTGTACAATTTTAGTTGATTTGTCATTAATATTGTTTGTCATTACTTGTAAAGATATTTTTAAACTTTTTATTCTTTTTTTTTTTGCATTTTTTTTTTCATACTAAATAAGTATGGATTAACTTAAATTAATTTATCGATTTATGTGTGAACTGTCCTGATATATATTT